TGCACACTTTTTTTTCTTTATTTTTACATTCAGAATGCTTTAAAAATTCCATTTACAAGACAATTGTTTATAATAAAATTCTGTTCAATCGTAACGATTGAAAACAATGTTTTTGTTTGAGTATGGGTTTGACCAATTCGTAAAAAAGAAAAAACAAAAGAAAAAAAACTAATTAAGACATGCGTGTCTGTCAACCTTAAACAATAATCTTTGTCAATTTTATTTTTCAGTCTTTATGATGGTCGATACTTGATCTATCTCTTACTGTTACATCCCCGGGCAACACCGGGCTCTACTGCTAGTATCTTAATATAAAGATTTATAGTAGTGGAAAGCATGGGTATCAAATTAATATGGCCGCAAAGAGACTTTCGATAAAGGTGGGAACAATTAGAAAGCATAAGTATCCCTTACATATAACCAGCAATAAACTTGCTATAAATACTTTGCTATAAAGATAGAAAAAAGAACGATAAAGCATGAGTAGCCATTTAATACGACCGCGATTTGCCTTGTTATAAAGACTGAAAGAATTGGAAAGCATGAGTATCTATTAATACAACCACGAATAACCTTGCTATACAGATTGAATAACTTAGAAAGGCCAAGTACCCATTAAATATGGCAACGGATAACCTGGCTAGAAAGCTTGAAAAAATATTAATACATGGATATCCATTAAATACTACCAAAAATACACGTACTATTAAGATTGAAAGAATTGGAAAGTTTGAGTATCCATTAAATACGACCACGGTTAACCTTGCTATAATGGTTGAAAGAATGGAAAATATGGTTATCTATTATATACGACCGCGAATAACCTTGCTATAAATAATGAAAGAATTCGAATGCATGAGTGTCCATTGAATATGACCACGAATAACCTTGCCATATAGATTGAAATTATTGGAAAACATGAGTATCAGTGAAATACAACTGCGAATATTGTGGCTATAAATATTGAAAGAATTGGAAAGTGTGTGTATCCATTAAATACGACCGCGAAGTACCCTTGCTATAAAGACTGAAATAATTTGAAACCATTAGTATCTATTAAATAAGAACAGGAATTACCTTGGTATAAAGATTGAAAGACTTAGAAAACATGAGTATAGTGATAAATACGACAACATTTATCACTGCTATAATAGTTGAAATAATGGAAATTATGTGTATCCATTAAATATGATCACAAATAACATTTCTATAGAGTGAAAACATGTAAAGCTTAACTATCTATTAAATAAGACCACGAATAATCTAGCTATAAAGATTGGAAAAATTGGAAAGCATGACTTTCCATTTAATACGACCACGAACAACCTTGTTATAAAGACTGGAAGACATAGAAATCTTCAGTATCCATTAAACACGTCTACGAATAACCTTGCTATAAAGTTTGTGAAAATGGAAATCTTTACTATCATTAAATGCGACCAAGAATAACCTTGCTATAAAGATTGAAATAATTGGAAAGCATTAAATACGAAAACTAATTATCTTGCTATAATGATTGGATGGCATCGAAAGCTTAAGTATCCATTAAATGCGACCACGAATAACATTGCTATAATGATTGAAAGAATTGGAAAGTTGAGTGTCTATTAAATACAACAAATAACCTTCCTATAATGATTGAAAGAATTTTAAAGCATGGGTATCCTTTAAATACCACCACGAATAACTTTGATATAATCATTGAAAGAAAAAACGAAAACATGAATATCAATTAAATAGAACTACGAATAAGCTTACTGTAAACATTGAATCATTTGGAAAGTCTGAGTGTCCATTATAGTGGGTCAGCCAATTTGTATTGGTTATAAATAGAAATAAAAACTGACCCTCTACAATTTTTACAATATCAAATGTAACAAAGACAACAACAAGAGAAATAATCAAGTAGAAGAAATTATGAATTTGTTCAACAATAAATATTTTTTATAAACACAACAAATACATAATATATAGTGCAAAAGTTGATAAACACAATAGAGTTCTTTGGTGTGTGTGTTACTGAAAGAATTTGAGCTACTGTACTGTATGTGTGAAAATGACAAGGTTTAGTTAGCTATATTTGTTTTTATAGGAAAATTAAACAGATGTTTTTTTGTGTATTAAATAGAAAAAAGTATTTTCTTGACTCACTGATTGTTATAGAGTTATCGCTCATTAATCAGAGATTCTTCTTGTGGAATGGAATATTTTGTGGGTGTGAGCGTTAAGCGTGGAGATGGTTGACAAAGTTTGTTGTTGTATTGAAGATAAAGTTCGCCTCCTTTGCTGTGTTGATTTCCAATGAAGTCAAGTGAATTGGTTCAATATTTTAAGTGCCCACTGACCAAGTCGCGTCGAAGTTTCGTTTTTATTAGTTCTCTTGGTCACGTGGGGAGGCTCGTAAACATGTTTACATTTCATGGCGTCAACTAGAGGTCAAAATTTGGGTCGGTACCTTCGGACGTAGTTGACGACACCTAATTAATATTTTACAACCAATCAAAATACATCAGTTGTTATATCTGGTTGGGGGCCTCTATGTGTTTAACTTGCACAAAATTTAAGATTTAAAAAAAATGTAGGAATCTGATTCTACACCATTAAATATGACGACGAATAACCTTGGTATAAACATTGAAAGAATTGTAAAGCACGTGTATCCATTAAATACACCCACGAATAACCTTAATATAATGATTGAGAAATTCGAAAACATGAGTATCCATTAAATAGAACCACGAATAACATTTCTATAAAGATTGAAAATATTGTTAGGTATGTCTATCCATTAAATACGACTACGAATAACCTTACTCTAAAGATGGAAAGAGTTGGCAATCATGAGTATCCATTAAATTCGACAACGATTTACGTTGATATAAAGATTGAAAGAATTGAAAAGACTGAGTATCCATTAAATACGACCATGAATAACTTTGCAATAAAGAATGAAATGATTGGAAATTATTAGTATCCATTAAATACCAACAAGTATAACCTTACTATAAAGATTGAAACAATTAGAAAGCACGAATTTCCATTAAATACGACCACGAAGTTTCTTGTTGTAACGTTTGAAAGAATTGAAAAGCACGGATATCGTATTACTAGAAACTCCTGCTTTCTAAATGCCTTGCTATAAATATTGAAACATTTGCAAAGCATGTGTATCTTTTAAATACTATCCTGTAGGGACTTGTGATAATTGTTTTAAAATGTCGGAAAGTATCAGTACCCATCAAATAAGACAACGAAATACCTTGCTATATACAGGGTGTTCCGAAAATCTTGTTACTCCTATATAATATTATTTTCTATTTCAAAATATAGATTAGATTCGACCATAGATGTTCTCGGAATAATGACTGAAATTTGGAAATCAAAAAATATTAAATATAAAAAAATCTTGAGAGATGTTTCCTTATTTCTTCATCATCAATATTTGGTTAAGGAAAGCAATTTGTTCGTGTGTTTTCAGTTGGGGGGGGGGTAATGTGAAAACTATTCGGCAAAATATTTTAATATTTTGGAGTAAGGAGGAAAATTCATTTGCCTTCTAATTTTATTTTCCCCTTTACGTTAAGGGAAATTGATTGAAGAATTTCCATTGTGTATAATTTTCAAGTGTGTAGAATTTAATGAGACCATATTTAATAATTAATTCATTGAGTCTAATAAAAATTCAGGTTCTGGAGATCTCGAAATATTACAAGGAAAAAACAATAAATATAACACAAACTTTGTTTGTAATGAATATTTTCTCATGCATTCAAACGGCAATGTCGAATCTAAAAGTTTTATAATTTCTGCCTGCATTTTTAAGTTGTTTTTTTTTATTATTTACAGTCAGAATTTAAGTAAAAAAATCCACAAGTTATTATTAGTTTGGCCGAAACGTTGTGATAATAACAACAAAAATGAACATAATAGTCCGCATTTAAATAACGACTATTTATAGACATTTAACTACCGTATTTGACAGCATATAAGGCGCACATTTTTTACTAAAAATATCTTTTAAAATTCCCCTGCGTCTTATATGTTATATGTAGGTTTAAAATAGCTAGCTGGCAACTCCTATTAGCTTAGACTTTAGAGTAACTTCCATATACTTATCGTCATTATTTAAAAGTCTATTATGCAGATTAAAAGTGTTATCATTGATAATATTCATTATATTAATTTCATTACGCTTAATATTAGTACTTTGTTTCACTAAAATTATACGCAATAAATTCAAATGATATATTTGTAAAATATATTTGTTTCATTAATATTTTTCTTGCGATAACTTCCGGTTGCATTGGTATAAATACAATCAGAATTTTTATATCCTAATTATTTCACTAAGATGTTTACAATACGTAGGTTGTACAGATCATATGAAGGAAAATTTTTGACTGAATTTTAATGGTAACTGTACTGTTTTGCTCAATTGTAATAATTGCTTGATTTTTATTTTTTCTTACCTTTGGATATAATAAAGTTTTTATAGGCTCGTGTTCTTTTTTTCCTATTATTTTTCATTTATTTGTTATCATGGCTTGTTTAACCAAAATAATATCTCATAAATATAGCCTAAGCTGTACCCTCTACTAATTTTACTAGTTTTATTAATTACTAATTTTTTCTGGATTTGCTCTGCTGAAATTGGGGTACGTCATATATATCCGTGCGTCTTATATACCGTCAAATACGGTAAATCAACATTCTCAAAAGTTATTACCAGTAGCCATAGCTTTAAACACTTTATCATAATACTAGAAGAGATCAGAGCATTCCTGTTGAGTGCAGATTGCTTGAAGTGTCTCGTATCTTTAATAATTTCAAAACCCCTTTTGATTAAGCGATCTGGCAATCCGTTCTTTATTACATGGGCTTCAGATTCCCTAGTTTCCCCAACTAATCTTGCATCATATTTTGCATTCGTCAGGTTTCAATTAATGTCCTGAATCACTTGATTAGGGCGTTTTTCGAGTAGGCACGACAAGATAGTTGACATGAGATTGAAACTAATCTTCTTCTTCTATTTCTTTTTCTTTTATTCTTCTTTCAACATCTTGTTTCCTTCTCTTCCATATCCTTTTATTTCCTCTTCTCATTTACCTTCCTCTTTTCTCCTTTATTTTCATATTATTTCTCATTTTTTTTACTCTTTCTTCTTCACATTTTCATTGTTTTCTCCTGATTTTTTCCCTAGATTTTTTAACCTTTCTTCGTTTCCTTCATTCGGTTTCTTCTTTCCTTTGTCCTCCTCCCGATTCCATTGGCATTCGTCTTCGTATTCATTATTATTTTTTTTCCTCGCTTCTTTCTCATTCTTTTTGCCGTTTCTTTCTCTTCTTCTGTTTCTATTCCTCGTTCTTTTTCTCGTTCATTTTCTCGTTCTTTTTCTCTTCTTTATTCGTCTCTTTATTTTCTTTCTCTATTTTTTTTCTTTCTTCGTTTCCTTCATTCGGCTTATTCTTTCCTCTTTTTTTCCCCTCCCAATTCTTTCGCATTTCTTCTCCTATTCTTTCTTAATTTTTTTCCTCGCTTCTTTCTCATTCTTTTTGCCGTTTCTTTCTCTTCTTCTGTTTCTTTGTCTCGTTCTTTTTCTCGTTCATTTTCTCGTTCTTTTTCTCTTCTTTATTCGTCTCTTTATTTTCTTTCTCTTTTTTTTTCTTTCTTCGTTTCCTTCATTCGGCTTATTCTTTTCCTTTTTTTCCCCTCCCAATTCTTTCGCATTTCTTCTCCTATTCTTTCTTAATTTTTTTTCCTCCTTCTTTCTCATTCTTTTTGCCGTTTCTTTCTCTTCTTCTGTTTCTTTGTCTCGTTCTTTTTCTCGTTCATTTTCTCGTTCTTTTTCTCTTCTTTATTCGTCTCTTTATTTTTTTCCTCTATTTTTTTCCTTTCTTCGTTTCCTTCATTCGGCTTATTCTTTCCTTTTTTCCCTCCCAATTCATTCGCATTTCTTCTCCTATTTTTTCTTTTTCTCTTCCTTATTCGTCTCCTTATTTTCTTTCTCTTCCTCTTCATTTTTTTTTTTCGTCGTCGGTTTTGAGTTTCTCCTTTTTTATGCTCTCTTCCTCCTCCTTTTCTCAAATATATGTTTTTACACCTCCCCCTAGTTCTTTCTCTTCTGATTCTTTTTCTCATTCTTCTTCTTTTCATCTTCTTCGCCCTTTCCTTTTTATTCTTTTCGTCATTCTTTTCCTTTTCGTTTTCTTATCGTTAAATTCTTCATTCTCTCTTTTCCTTTCGTTCATAGTTTGTTTTTTTTTTCTACACGGTTGTTTTTCTTCTTTTTTTATTTTTTCTTCTACGAAATCCTCTTCCCCCACGTCAATTTTCTTCATTCTTTTTCTCTTTCATTTCATTCGTTTCCTCTTTCTCTCCCAACTCTCAGTTCTTCTCTTCGTCTTCTGCTTTCTCCTTTTCTTTCATTACTGCATCTTTCCTCAACCATTTCTTCCTCTTTTTTTCTTTCTCTTTGCTTTCTTGTATTTCTCCCCTTCCCCTTTCTTTCTCACGTCTCCACCCACCACTTCATTATTTAATGTTTGTAATGGTCTATTTCTCATCGTGTCCACAATTTCCCTCAATTCTTGATTAAAAATTTTCCAGTTTCTCTTGTTGTTTGAATTTTATTTTCAACAATGAAACGCCAAGAATCATTCGAACAGAATTTTTTCAAATCCAAGAAATAAACAACGAAATAAAAAATCTTGAATCAATTTTTATCTAAAGTTATGTTTACGAAATATTAACCCATGACTGCGTTCTTGTAATCGTTTCCTCTATTTCTCGTTATTTCACACGGGAACTGGATATTGCCGCCATTAATGACCTTATCCCCGAAATGGATATATATATATATATTTATATATATATATATATAAACTTTCATCAACACAACCTCCGGTAACAAAAAAACTGCCTACCTTACAAATGCACTCGCATCAAACATCAAATTATCGCGCCAAGCGAGAACGATCGATTCTCAATCATTATTTGGCAGTAACAATGGCAATTTACATCTGAAATGCAATCTCAGCAGATATTGTATTCAGTGGAAATGGTCGCTCTATTTGCTGGCAAATAATTCGGTCGCAATTAAATTGTTTAACATGAATTGTCTTTTAAAGACCAGGTTCACTGAAAAGCAATCGAAGCCATATTTTCTTATTTATTTTAATACGTTGTTTTTACATCGTACAACCAGGATACTTAACTTTAAATTTACATTGAAAATGTTTCTCATCCGGGTTTTCTATATGCAAAACTAACTGACCTGATTCATTTCTTTTTGGTATCGCTATTGTTCTTTATTGTTTTTTTTATATATATATATATATATATATATATATATATATATATATATATATATATATATATATATATCCTGCATTGTGATGGCAGTAGTTTCATTTGGAAGGTGATACGCCGTATAATCCCGAGCGTCAATTTTTCTTTCTATGTCAATAACGCCAATAATACTTTCTATACAGTTTCCCCTTAATAAATTACTTACTCTTTTAATTAAAACTGGAATACTTAAGTTAATCCAAAGGAAAGGTTTGGTCAAAGGCTCCAGACGAATATCATATCCGCTCCGACAAACACGCCTTGGGACTACGATTCCTCCCCATGATACGTCACAATCTTGAAGTCGAAATTAATGGCAGATATTTAAAATAAAGAGCCCCCGTATCTTCAACGTTCTCTTGATATAGAATTATAACCAACGTTTGTTGCATTATCTTCCTTGACCCTACATATATGTAATTCCATCGATAAAAATATTATTTAATCTGAAGAAGTGCTTTTGAAGGACGAAACGCGTGGGGCAAGTTTGATTTCTCTCTCTCTCTCTCTCTCTCTCTCTCTCTCTCTCTCTCTCAATTACTCTCTCTCTCTCTCTCAATTACTCTCTCCCTCCCTCCCTCCCTCCCTCCCTCCCTCCAGTAATAAATATACTAGTGGTTCGATTAAAATAATTGTTCTCTTGTTGGGTTGATGAAGAAACGAAAAACACTATACGAATGGACATTCAGAGAAGCCTTTCAAGCTGGTTTTTGTAATGTTGTTGCGAAAATTCTGGCTGATTCTCATTTATTTTTTGTTTCGTTGTTTTTATATTAATTTTGGGTTGATGAAAAATATTAAGCAATGGATAAAGAAAAATCCAGCATTTGTTTTCATCAAACTGAAACTTCCGCACATCAGAGATATTAAATTAAATGAATTAGTGAATTCTGGACCGAGTAATGTTTCAATACCCAATTTTATATCCACACAGACAGCTTCATCTTCAGAACAATCTTAACTTCTCCAGGTCTAGGGTCAACCGTTTATCAATCTTACATATCCTTATAATATGCACATTTTACTTTTTCTCTTTATGCCCTTACAACAACCTCATTCAGTAGCCCTCTACCTTGAGTGGCTCTATGGCTTTGTATTGGGTGAACAAATAGTGCATATATATATGTGTGTGTGTGTGTGTAATAATAATAATAACTGGTTACTAGGAGGGCTAGCCAATCCTTAATTCAGACGCTCGCTCAGGCACATTTATTTAGACACCCACAGAGTCCACCTGTGATCGATACTGCAATTATGCTGAGCAGACCTTAGTTACAGTTTGTGGGAGATAACGTGTTATTGGAATGGATCGAGGTCGATCCCAGCGTGCATCACCTTTGAAAAGTGTCTGAAAACCGCACCACAGGTTGACCGAAGGCTTGTGAGTGAAATTGGGTAGATGGAACTCTTGAGGGCCGTCGATATCTGTGCTAGCACGAAGCCGCAAGTCATCGTGGCCGAGGGCTTCATATATATATTTACAATTTAGATAAATAACAAGATGAAAATATTTTTATGCCAACACCTTTCATGCCTTCATAAATTTCCTGAAGGAATGAGACGCGTTGGCATAAAAAGTTTTGAGTTCTGTGTTGTTTCTTTTACAGTGGTCAAGCAAATGTTTCTGTCTTGTGATGTTAGTGTGTGTGTGTGATGTTAGTGTGTGTGTATGTGTGTGTGTGATGTTAGTGTGTGTCTGTGTGTGATGTTAGTGTGTGTGTATGATGTTAGTGTGTGTCTGTGTGTGTGTATATGATGTTAGTGTGTGTGTGGGGGATGTTAGTGTGTGTGTGAGATGTTTGTGTGTGTGTGATGTTAGTGTATGTGTGTGATGTTAATGTGTGTGTGTGATGTTAGTGTGTGTGCGTGTGTGTGATGTTAGTGTGTGTGTGTGTGTGATGTTAGAGTGTGTGTGTGTGATGTTAGTGTGTGTGTGTGTGATGTTAGTGTGTGTGTGATGTTAGTGTGTGTGTGTGTGTATGTGTGTGTGTGTGATGTTAGTGTGTGTGTATGTGTGTGATGTTAGTTTTGTTAGTGTTGTTTCTTTTACAGTGGTCAAGCAAATGTTTCTGTCTTGTGATGTTAGTGTGTGTGTGTGTGTGATGTTAGTGTGTGTATGTGTGTGTGTGATGTTAGTGTGTGTGTGTGTGTGATGTTGTGTGTGATGTTGTGTGTGTGTGTGTGTGTGTGAGATGTTTGTGTGTGATGTTTAGTGTGTGTGTGATGTTGTGTGTGTGTGATGTTGTGTGTGTGTGTGATGTTAATGTGTGTGTGTGTGTGTGTGTGTATGTTGGTGTGTGTGTGTGTGTGTGTGTGATGTTGGTGTGTGTGTGATGTTAGTGTGTGTGTATGTGGGTGTGTGTGTGTGTGTGTGAGATGTTGGTGTGTGTGTGTGATGTTAGTGTGTGTGTGTGTGTGTGATGTTAGTGTGTGTGTGATGTTAGTGTGTGTGTTTGTATGTGTGTGTGTGATGTTAGTGTGTGTGTGTGCGCGTGCGCGTCACATGCATACATTGGGCCCAGGCGGTAGGGTAATGGCTTGTTCTTCCTCATGAAACTAGGGGAGGCCGACATCCTTCAAAAGGTCTTAAAATTATATTAGCAGTTTCTTTCTAATGTTATATTAAAGAAATCCATATTAAATATCATCAACATTAAATCCATATTAATATTATCAGCATGAATAGTAATTATGAGTCGATTGATGGACAAAGGCCTTTCCCAAATCCTCTTCTTTGTACATTATAATCGTTAAAATTTGACTTAATGCAATGAAAATTAATTAATCAAAGTTAATCAAAGTTTGAATTTAACCCATTTAATTAATCAAAACCGAATTTCTGTATCTATTTTTTTCTAAACCTGTGATTAATACTGGGTTTTTATTTCCTATTTAATTATTCATAATTAATACGAGATATTACGGCGAACATCAATGGCTTAATTAATTGATTTTCTAACAACCGAATTTGTCAACGGCGTTAAACTATGATCCAAGGGAGGTAACTTCGTAAAAAATATTTCAAGAATTATTCTTTCGTTATTTCGTTATTAAAAACAGACAATCGTTATTTCGTTATTCTAAACAGATCATCGTTGTAATTTTCATCTCTGTATATTATTAATAATAATAATAATAATAATAATAATAATAATATAAATATAATATAATAAAACTACATTTCATTATATTTATTAATATATATATATATATATATATATATATATATATATATATATATAGTGGACTCTCCGTCGTATTCGACGTATGAGGGTCAAACAGCTCAGTTCTTAGGAACCGACAGCCAGACACCTGCTCATATGATTTGATTATAGTAGTGATGGCTTTGTGCAGAACCAACCACACTTTTTGCAGGGCCGAATACAGAGACCTGGTGCAATACGTGCCACAAGATCCCCAAACAACCCCCACATGTTTTGAATTCAGTTGTCCTTCTCCTAGACTAGTTGCCATCCAAGGCTATAGAATCCAGCCTGTTTATCCATAGCTGGAGGAAGAAGAGGATTCATACTTCTCCCAGGGGTATTAGCACAGTTACAACTCGTTTAGTGAACTTCCTTTCCTTTTATATTAGTTCGTATTGTCTAACTGTAAGTATTTTTAAATCAACGCGTGCGCGTGCGTGTGTGTATGTCTGTGTGTGTGTGTTTCCAAACAAGTTTGATGAAAAGAAGCGACAATATCAGTCTGTTTTATTTCAATCACGATACTCAAAGCCTTATTCGAAAACTTGTAAAAATGCAATAACAACGTTTTTATTGTATTTTTACTAGTTCTCGAATAAGGCTTTGAGCATCGTGATTGAAATTATATATATATATATATATATATATGAAAAATTTCTGAGTTAACCTGTAGAAAAAGACATTATATATGTATAAAGGTAAAAGACTGTATCATTAGTCGACGCGTTTCTTCCAATGTGGACTTTTTCAAGGCAAAAACGAAATGAATTTATTAAAAACAAAGTAACTATTAAGAACAAAACAAAATGTCCTTAGAAACTAAAAGAATTTAGAAAACGCTATTGTATTCATATTGTCAAATGAAAATTCCATCAAGTACTATCACGTGTGGAAAAATTGTTTTTATTGTTATGTTGATTTATTCGACCATCTTCTTTTGATTTCTCGATACAGTTGTGAACGTTGGCTTGAGAGAAAGTAATTGTATATTCTATATTTTTCTATATTTCTTTGTTGCTTTTTTTAATTTTCTGTTTTTGTTTTTTTATATTTAGCATGCCTGTATGCTTGCGTTTTGTAAAGAGTATAGTTGTGGTAATTTGTATGTGTTGGGTGTGCGTGTATTTTGTGTGGTTGAGTATTGTTGGTTATTATTTTGTTGGTACTGTAGGTGTTGTAAAGTGCATGTATGTGTTTTTGCGTTTTGTAAGGTGTATAATTATGGTGATTGGTGTATGTTGGGTTTGCGTGTATTTTGTATGGTTGGGTATTATATTTTTTTGTTATTATTTTGTTTTTTATTATTTTGTTCATTTATATTAGTATTTAGATGGCAAAGTAGATACTTGTTTAATTCCCTGCATTTCCCAATTATTTCATTCTTCTTGTTTAGTAACATGTTAAAGGTGATGATTGCTAATTTTTCCTCCAGACACAATTTACAGTTTCTGCTATTGCTATTGTATGGAGCTACTTTTTTATAATTTGCCATTTGATTTTGGTAATGATTTTGTTTTATATTGCATATGATAGCGTATTTTAAAGGAATAAAACTAACTCAAAAGATTTTGTATTGTGCCCTTTCGGCTATTCGTTTAGCCATTATAAAGATGTAAGACCTTGATATTTGTGGGCAAAGACTTTGATTATAAATGCTTCTTTTTTATCTTGATTTTTGTTTATTTTTCTTTTTGCTTACTTGTTTCTTTGTGTCAGTATTTTTATTCAGTGTTGTAGTTAACTTATTTCATCATGTTTGTCAATTGCCATTCTCGATCAAAGTTATCATTTCATCCATTTCCATGTCCACACTAGAGCAGACTAGTGGTTAATGACAGCGATTGGTTTGACGGCAAATCTCCTCAACTCTCCAACACCTTTTATGATATTGTAGCAGTCCCACCTAACAGTCGTAGAATCATACGCCCGTTAGGTGGTTGCAGACCCCCAACTATTTCCCGAATTACTAATTCAGCCAATATCGATGCTAAAATGTATTTTTATTACCTATTCTCGCTGTTTAGTGACAGTCCGAGAAGCTGTGATGAGAAGAAACTGAAATTGAGACAAATACGGGTTAAAGTAATAATCCTTGAAAGAAAATGTGAAATGAAAAAGGGAAAATTCTACCCAAAATTATTAGAACGCTTGGGATGGCCTCGAAGAACACTGGAAGAAATGGAAGTCGATGTTATAACCAAAAAGCAGGTGACGGCATTGTTAAAACCAGTGAGAATACCGAAACGATTATTGAAGAAATGAAAGGACTTTTCCGCATTTGATCTCTAGTGAATGTCACCTGGTTCTAAAATGGATTTCCCTTTCTTCCAACCTCTTTGCAATATTCTTAAAGACTATTCCAAACTTACCAATAATACTGGGTAGACGTGTTTAAGGGCCAAATGAATGCTACTACTACAAATGATAACAATAATAATAATAATAA